TGAATATTGCAAGTTGTTTTACAGAATTTTGCCAGACCAAAATGGATAAATAGACAACAGACCTGAATTCGATAATTACAATCAATTTTGGACTGCCTTATTTTAAAATAATAGCAGTGCTAATATTCCTAATATTGCAATGATATGTGTAAATAGTAGATCAAATAAAAATAATTAAAAGGATTACTTTGAAGAATTAGGCAAAGGTCTACCAAAAGAATTATAGAAATTATAATTACAATATTCATTAATTACTAAATTAATTCAATTAAATATATCATAATATGGTTACATAAGATCTAAATATTGGGACAAATCCTTAGAATTATTAAAAAAGCAAATATTTAAACAAAGTGAAATTGAAGTATTAGAAAGTGATTAATCTTCTGAATAAACTCAATAAATTATGATATCTTTAATGTAATATTATGCTGGGTAATTTACTGTTTCCTAAAAAGACATTTATAGTAAAGGAAAATAATTAGAAAATAAAATAGCTAAAGAGACTAATTAAATATTGTTAAAAGCTATATTAATTGAAGGTTAGAAATAAAGAAGTTAACCTAAATTCAGAGGAACAAAATAAAAAATGCCCGTTAATTTAAATTTATTAATTGATAATTTGTTAGGATTAGACTTAAATGAAATAGAGAGAAAAGAATTAAAACCTTTAGTAGATTTATTCTATAATCCAAAGGCAATGGATACTGCGTTCATTACCAAAACATGGGGAAACGAGCATTTAATAATGGATGCAATTATGTTAATGTTGGTGAGAATTTAATTAGAAAATTCAAAAGCTGTTGGAAAGTTTTCATAATTAGCTACTAGAGTTCCAGCTTGTTATTTGTATTATTCATTAGGTGATTAATATGAAAATTTAAGTTAAGAAGATTTAATATTATATTAGTAGAATAGTGATAGTTTAAATTAAGGAATTGAAGAATTAATAGAAAATTGCAATGAAATTTAAACTTCAATTAAAACACCATTGAAATTGATGATAAGATGTTTTTTAGGTGATGTTGAAGCTTGGTATGCTTTAATAGCATTTAGGAGAGAATAAGATAATGTGTAGACTGAGTTATTATCTGAAAGTATGATAGCAACTTTTATTATTGAAATATTATTATAATTGAAAA